ACCTCGCTGCTGGGGCTATCTGTCCTGCCATGATGTGGCTTGGGGTGCACTGCATGGCCACCAGGGACTGGTCCGTTCCAAGGTATTTTTGTTCAGCTAGAGCAATTGCTCAAGTGCAGTTTGTGCTAGGGATGTCAACGTGCAGTCAACCACATGATTAACCAATTAGCCTGGGCTTATCAGTTAATCCTATCAACTACATGCACTTCCCCCCTTGCTGCCTCTGTATTAGAGGCAGCAAGAGTGGGAGGAGACGGGAGCTGTTACACATTGGGAGCTGGCTTTTAAGCCAGCCCTCTGTGCATGCTGATTTTTGCGGAGCCACCTTTCCCCCCCACTTGCTGTCTCTCACAGAGAGAGAAGCAGCAGCATGAGGGGTGGGAGAGCAGGTGGGAGCCAGTACACAAGGAAGTAGCTTTCAAGCTGGCGCCCCGCACATATCGGCTACTCAGAGCCACCTGCCCCCTGCTTTGCTACCTCTTTATCAGAGACAGCAGAGTCAGGGGAGGTGGGAGCTGGTGCTCATGAGGAGTTAGTGCTCATGGGGAGTCCGCTCTCTCTGTGTGTAAATGTGTAAGTGCTAAAATTTCAAGTGGTTACACATTTACACAAATACCTGATAGTTAATATCTCTAATTTGTGCCCTGAAAACTTGCACCTGCATCTTTGTACCCTGCAGAGGTGAAATGGGGACCCTGTTCTGAGAACTTGCTTCTTTGGCTTTTCTCTTTGGGCCTGCCCTGAGAGCAGAAGGGGCCCAAGGAGCTGCATTCTCACCTGCAGGCCAAAAGGGGGGCCAAGTTCCAGGCTGGCCAAAGGGAGTCTGCCCCATGCTAGCCAGGGCAGGGCTGTGGGTGAGTTTTGGAGTTTTCTGCTGCCCATGGGAAGCTCAAAGTCTGTAGTTTCTTACCGGTAACAGTTGTTGTTGAAATGGTTGTAACTGGCGAGAGCAAGAAGAACCCCGAAACCAGGCCCCAAGGAGAAAAAGATCTGGGCAGCAGCATCCACCCAAACCTGGCCGAATAAGCATAGATGCTGGTTAGAGGTGGGAATGTGGGTGGATCCCAGGGGCTGTGATCTAGCCAGGGAGACCTGCCACATGGGGTATGAATCTGGGCCCCAAAAACAGCTCAGTTCCCTTTGCATTCTCTCTGCCCCCCAGGCCATTGTAATGGAGCACAGATCTAACCATCTGGCTCTGAAATTTGCCGATTGCCTTGCTTTGAAAGTGCAAATTCCAGGTTGGCCTGGGAGCCTGTGGCCCTGGGTCTTAGGTATATGCTGCCCCAATGCAGGACATGCCACCCTGGATTCTTGTTCACACTGCGGCCCCTCTGCACTGCACTTGCAGTGACAACCAGTGTTACATGTGTAATTATAATGGTTCCCATGCAGCTCAGGGACTGGCTGTAACACAGTGTGAGGTCCCAGTGCAGTCGAGCCCTGGGTTGTGTGTCATCTTGGAGAAACTCCATTTAAATATATTTGCCTCAATACTGATTCTTGGATGGGGTTCCCTTGCTTGCCCTAGCTTCCCAGTTCCTCCAGGAAGGACACCCCTAACACAGGAATGAAGGGAAGCAGATGCCATGCAGCTCAGGGACTGGCTGTAACACAGTGTGAGGTCCCAGTGCAGTCGAGCCCTGGGTTGTGTGTCATCTTGGAGAAACTCCATTTAAATATATTTGCCTCAATACTGATTCTTGGATGGGGTTCCCTTGCTTGCCCTAGCTTCCCAGTTCCTCCAGGAAGGACACCCCTAACACAGGAATGAAGGGAAGCAGATGTCCTCCCAGTGGTAATTCAGCCGTAGAAAACTTGAGCAATGCTCAGCTGCAAGCTAAGCAGAGAAATCAGGGTGAGAGAGGAATCAGGATGTGACACGCTCCCCAAACCTTTCCTGGCATCCAGCCACACCAGGGCTTGGCTCACACAGTTCCTGGAAGAAGTGGCATGATAGGCCGTCTATCTGTTATGGAAGGTTTAAATGGGAAAGTATATCACTGATTAACTTTAATGAAAATTCTCAAGTGCAGCTCAGGGGTAATTACAGACAGGAAGTCTATTGTCAGGCCAGCTTTACAAAGAGGGGGCGAAAACACAGCATAAATAAAACTAGACGGCAAATGAGATGGGTAATTCAATTAAAGATTTACATTTCCAAGAGCTTGTCCAGTGTGCCTCTGTTTTCTGAAGGAATAATGAACCTATTACATTCTGGTTCTCAGATCTGCGCTGCTCATTTCTGCCTACTGCATCTGCAAGTACTGGCTGCTAGGAGGTCGGGGTGGCATTTAAAGGAAGTTGCTTTCTGCGGTGGCTACATCAGATATACATCATGTGGGAGGATGGGAGCTCCAGCAGGTGCAATTAATGTCACGTTAAAGCACTTTTAACACCGCTACTCGCATCACCTCCCTGACGGGTTGCTGTGATCACATCAGTCCCTCCCTTGGGTTCCCCCCTTCCCTAATAAATTGCTCACAAATCTTTGTCCTGGCCTTTCGACCAGGACTATTAGGCTTATAAAAGAGACAACTCAAGGTCTATCAAATCATGACTGGGGTGGAGAAAGTGAATCAGGAAGGGTTATTTTCACCCCTTTGCATAACTCAGTGACCAATTAAGTTAATGGGCCACATGTTTCAAACCAGCATAAGGAAATATTTCTGCATGCAGCACACAGTCAATCTGTGGAACTCCTCGCCAGAAGATGTTGTGAAAGCCAGGACTTTAACAAGGTTCAAAAAAGAATTAGATAAGTTTTGAGGAGGATAGGTCCATCAATGGCTACTAGCCAGGATGAGCAGGGATGTGACCCCCATGATCAGGGGGTCCCTAAACTTCTGACTACCAGAAGCAGGGTTTGGATCACTCAGTAACTGCCCTCTTCTGTCCAGCCACTGCTGGAAGACAGGTTACAGGGCTAGGTGCTTGGTCTGACCCTGTGTGGCTGTCGTGATGAACCTTGAGGCCCCTGATGACGTAGGCCAAGCAATGGAAGGGCCGTGTGGCTAGGCGCTCGCTGTTACCATGCTGTCACACTGAGAGCAGGGCGAGGTGACATGGCAGAAGGCCTATGCCCAGCCTGCCCCATAGCATGGCTGGTGTTGGTGGAAAACCTGCACATCTGATTGTTCCTCGTGATGCCCAGCCTGTTGAGTTTGGGCTGGGGTGTGTGGAGCTTAACCTGTGTTTGTCCTGGGATAGACAGTCTGCGGCCCAATGACTCCAGGGTTGTCCAGCCAGCCCTGTATTGCACCTGCCTTAGCTTATCTTCCAGGCTCTCAGGTGGCTCCTGGCCACATTGCTAAATACAGCAACCCCCAGCAGTGGGGAGGGCACTGTAGCAGGCCAGAGCCTGAGCAGGGGAATGGCTGGCTGTAACTTACAGCAGTGCTTGTGAGCTTCTCCCAGTCAGGTCTGAGATAGAAGACAATCCCTCTCCAAGCCCCTGGCAGAGTTGCTCCCCGAACCAGCAGTATGAGGAGGACGATGTAAGGCAGTGTAGCTGTCACCCACACCACCTGGAAAGCAGAAACCGACCAGACAGGCGTTTCAGTGACAGTAGAGACAGACACCAACTGCTACCATAGGTCACATCCATCAAAGAGTATTAGCGCAAACAGGTCACCACAGACACTCGGCGTCAAATGCACTCCCGCCTTTGAGTCTGAGTGGTGGAATATGAATGGAATTCAGTTTTAATGGCCACTGTTTGGAATGATCACTCTTCAGGAGTGGGGGGAGGGGGGGGAAGGGAGATCAAAAAAGGACTTTCCAAACTTGAGTGATCTGAATCTGCCCAGGCTCGCTGATCAGTGAGGTGGTCAGCTTAGAATGGGTTTGCTCATTACCTTTGGCAAACGTAGGAAAGAGTTTCACATCACCCAAGTGATGCTGCGCTGTTGTGAAAGGCTGAAAGATACAGCTTGTGGGGGTACTTAGTAGCAACCTTGGCAGGGAAATAGCTAGGTCACCTCATTTAGTCTTTGTGAGAGTGAGATCTTACTTCTGTGGGTTGGGAAGTCTGACCTGGTTGTAAGTGGGTAGAGTTTGCTGCTTAGTGACTGTGCATACAATGCTCATTCAGCTACAACCGTTGGAACAGAGATTGCACTAGCTCATCCTAACAACATTTTACCCTTCGTATGGATTCTGGAGGTCTGATTTGCAGAGTTCTGGCAGGAACTGGCTGAGCTGCAGCAAAAGCCAGCAGGGAGCTATTTAAAGAGCTGTCAGGGACCTGGGCTAGAATAGGACAGCACCTGTAAGAAAGTTACTTTCATCACTGGCCGAACCCCTTCTGATTCCAAGTGGCATTCAGCCCAAGCAGGGCAAAATACTAATTCTGCCAAACCGTTTTTCAGTGAAAAAAAGAGGATTCTACAACATGAACTGTTTGGGGGATTTGTGTCTGTTTTGCTGATGGTTTCTATTTAAAAACAGAGAGAGATTTGGAACAAATCAAAATGTTTCAATTCAAAATGACTTTTTGTTTTAAAATTTCCTTCAATTTTGTTTTGTAAAAGTTAAAAAAAACAACTTTCAGTGCTTGAAATCAAAATAAAACAGTCCATTGAACCCAAAGTAAATGTCTTTCCAATGTTTTCTGTCACTGAAGAGTTTTTAAACAATTTCATTTTGAGGCTGAAAAGTGGGTTTTTTTCACTTGTCCTCAAACTGAAAAAAAAATCAGTTCTTTGCAAAATTCTACTCAGCACTGCTGAAAAACGGGCCGGGAGGGTATGTTTTCTCCTTCTGCTTCTGATTTATTCTTTGCAGGCTGTATTACAGAATACCGAGTAAACCCCGCTGTTATGAGTGGCCCTAGGAAGCAAGAGTGCCCAGATTCAAAGGCACCTTACACCACTGAAAAGTTATTTATTTAGCACCAGACTAGAGTGAATAACACTGTTACAAGCTTTGGGGCAGTGAGAAATGAGGCAGAGAGACTGCAGGAGGAACCCCCCCACACACCGCCCGCCACATTACTTATGGACTCCCCCATGATGGCAGAGCAGATACAAGTTATACGATATTAGATGAATTTTGCCTTTTCCCCCTCTAGTTGCAAATTGCCAGAGATCCGGCCCCAGAGTTTTCATGTGTGTTTATTATTGAAATGGGTTCTAGATTTTCAGGGGTGAACAATCCTATGGGCAGACCTTTGATACCATGCAAACCCCACTCTGTTAGCAGTTCACAAGTTTCAGCAGTTCACAAGTGCAGCAAATGTGCCACACCAGGCTCCTCTGCCTGCAGATGCAGAGCACTAGGGGCGTGCATCTACATGCAGCCACTGAGGGGTTAGGGGCCCTGGCTCTGCACTAGCTGTATGATGCACTGAAGCAGCCTGCTATTGCTCACTGAGAGCTGAGAGTCAGAAGGGGCATGGGAGGTCTTCTTACCTTCCCTGAGGTTTTCACTCCTTTCCACAGGCTGAAGTAAACAATCGTGAAGATGAGAAAAAGGCAGAGGACAAGCTGCCAGCGGATCCCGCCTACGTCGTTCAGGCCACCGGATTTCTGAATCTCGAGGACTTTCCTCCTGTGTCAGATAAGCCCCCCGTTGGCTTAGTCACCAATACAAACAAGAGAAGGGAATGTTGAGCCACTGGGAGCTGAGATAATGGTCAGATTTGACTCTCTGCCCCTTGTGTGCACAGCCCAGCTTGTCCTTCACAGTGACTATTGCTGGGCTGTGAGACCTGGAGGAACCATGGTCAAGGGGGTAGGGTCCAACCTTAAGCATGGGGACATGCTGCTCTTCACCCTGTCCCTGGCTTATTGTGAGCAATGGCCTCAGGCTGGCAAATCACATAACCACTCTAGGTCTCAATTTTCCCGTCTGGGAAAGGAGGGAAAGAATCCTTACCCATCGTGGGGAGCAGCAGGAACTCTGGTTGTAACCCGCACTGAGAATCCCAAATCTATTATATATTTCAGATAGTTTGTCTCTGTGTGTGTCTGTTTGTCTGTCTTTGTCTGTCCCCCAGCCAGGGGACATGCACCCCCTCCCTGGCTGTGTCCACTGAAGCTGCAGCAGCCATAGAGAGGCGCTTTTCACTTGGCCCCAGTAGTCCTCTCTCCTCAGGGCAGCCTGCATACTGATCCCCACACACCCAGCCCCACCCCAAAGCCATGATCCCAATGAAGGAAAGAAAATCTTGTTTAAGTTAAGGACCTGAGCAATGCTGGGTAAATCCTCTAATTTGATTGTTTCCACAGGCTGAAGTAAACAATCGTGTTTCCAATAGTGTTTGATTGTGCCAGGACAACTGGAAACTCCAGGAAAAGGACTGTTTTCCATAACATGGAGGGGGTGTTCGGAGGGACACAATATGAGAGTGGCCATGGTGGACAGCGAGCCCACAGGGGAAAGTTATCCTGCAGAGTGCCCACCAGCGGAGCCGCCCCACCAAGGGAGTGACCAGCAGGGCTGGAGCTCCACCATCTTGCCTGCCAGTGGTAGTCCCTCTGCCCCAAACCCTTTCCTCCTGGTACTTGGCTGAAGATGGGGAAGAGAACAGGCCCCTGGCAGCTGGGAGAGGCCCAAGGGGAAGAGAACAGGCCCTGGGTAGGGAATACTGGGGAGGGAGAATACACCCCCGGCCCCAGCTTCCTGCATCCTTCCCCTCTCCCACATCCCCAAGGTCCTGCCCTGAAGATCTAGGCAATGCCCGGCAAATCTGCTAGTAGAAATACAAAGCAGTGTTATTATATATGTGGCTGAAACAGAGATGTCAATGATCATTCTTCCTATACCTTGCATAGCAGGCCCTGGTGCATAGGTGCTGAGGGGACTGGGTATTAACGAGAGAGGGAGAGAGATTTCCCCCTGGCCCAGTCACATAGCGCACTTACATGCACTTACGTATAAAACTCTTCCGCCGGCGACTTGGAGAAGCTGGTCCAGGTCACGTTGCTCTTTCCAAAGTAGTTGGTGCAGTTGGGGGTGTTCCAGGCATTGTCGCAGCTTGTCCAGGGCAGGGTGCCAGTAAAGGAGGAGTAGAAATAGTACAGGGCCCAGGCGATGATGGTGTTGTAGTAGAAGGAGACGTACAGGGCAATGATGCAAATAGCAAAGCCAATGCCTGTGTGGGGAGAGAGGAGGGGAGCACATCACGGGACCCCAGTTCCTGCACAGTGCTATTCTTCTGCTGCAGTGACGGCATCCCTGAGCATGGCTCCCCTGGTCCTGCGTGGGAACTGTGCACAGAGCACTGGGTGCTCAATTCCCATGCCCTGCTAGTAGAATTAGTTGTGTCAGGCTAGTTAATCCACCTGGGGTGAATTTTCCCTATTGTGAAAGCTGCTTATGTCTGTGATTTGCCACATTTTGGACACTGCTGCAGGGGAATAGGCTGGGGAGGGAGGGGGAGCGGGGAGATGAGAAGGGGAAGGGGCCCCTCCGGGAATGGGGTCGGGAGCTAGGGAGCTTGGACAGCTATGCTCTGTAAGACTCTGTGTGCAGGGAGGGAGTGGCTGTTGCGAATGGAAGAGGCATGATCCCTGCAATATCCCTGCAAATGCATTTGCTACAATATCCCTGCAAATGTATCTCACAAGGAGTGATGGCACACCAACCTGCAGCAAGACTCCAGGGTGCTCTAATTTTTCTCCATTCAGCAAAGCAGAGGACTCAGCATATTAATGCTCAGTGAATGTTGAGCTGCCAGGTCAGGAGCGAGGGTGTCTTACCTTTAAAGATGGGACAGATGTGTTTCCAGATGGAGATAGCTCCTGTCCTATGAAACTGTCCTAGGGCCAACTCCATGTAGAAGAGAGGCACCCCTCCAAAGATGGCCATCAGCGTGTAAGGAATAAGAAAGGCTCCTGCGGAGAGAGGCAAAACCACTGCAGGGCATCATGTCATCCACAGCAGTAAAGGTAGGCTCACAAGCCAGCCTGACGGGCTGGGAATATCTATTTGAAATAGCATCTCCAGACTCCAGTCAGCGGTCCTGCCCCTCTCTGAAACTGAGGGGAGCAGCTGAGCTGAAATCTGTGGGAGTCCTACCCAAATGTTCCCTCTCATCTTTTCCATCCAGGAGAACATTTTTATTTCTTCAGCATTGCAGAATAAATTTTTAAAACATGCACCAAGGCAATGTGTACCACCAGTAGAAACACAAACCTAGCTGTGGGCACTCTGCAGCTGGGTCACATTAGAATCTCTCATGGACAGCTGCACATGTGCCAAGCTGACAGGAACACTAATCCTGCCCAGTGACTTCAGCAGAGCCTGGATTCTACCTCCAAGTTACAGCTCTGGCTTCCCCACTACTCCACTGACAGAGGATGGGTTGCACAAGGCCTCTTCCTACTCAGACCTCATCATCAGCCCATCCCTGACAACAAGCGACTCCTTTGTGTAGCAGACCTGCCTGCAAACAGGTAGGTACATACCGATCCCCCAGCTCCCTGGGGAGCTGATGTTGGTGAACTTGGCCCATCCTTATAAAGTGGGAAAAAGTAGATGAGAAATACCGTACAAGTGAGCACAGTGTCTGAGAAACTTACTGCAATCCCATTGGGATAAGTGTGTGTCTGTAACTTAGCCAAGGAAACAACATTTTCTCTCTGCAGAAACTCCCTGGCTGGTTTCAGTGGATGGATGCTCTGAAGTTCATGTGCCACTGAATCGTTACATCAAGGGGCCCCATTTTTGGTAGGAACGGAGGGATTGGTTGTAAGACTGGGCAGTGCAGACCATCACAAGGGAGAGAAAGAAATATTAAACACCTTTCAGGTGTCAGAGGTTCTACAGAGAAAAATCCCAATGAATATGTATCATCACTCAATGAACTCAGTAATTACTGCTGTAATTTGCATTATTCATAATGAAGCAGTAATTACTGGGGCTAGATTTGTACCCACTGGATTCTTTCAAACTGGAACTGCTCTCTCTACTCATCAGAAATACCCTACTGGGATTAGTTAATTTACCCCCCACGGCTCCTCTCTCTGAAAGGCCGATGCCCAAGGAACTGGCTGTTTGATACTAACCAGTGTACATGTGGGGGTTTCCTTTAGACGAATGGCCACTGGCAAGAGGTGGTGGAGGGAGATCTGAGCATCACCAGAGATCCTGTGAATGTGAGCAAGGGATATTAACTCCTTCCTCTCAGGAAGGTTATGTGACTAGGCGGGGAGAATCTGCAAAGGTGTTGGGTTCATGCTTGGCTCGGTATCCAGAAATCTGGGCCCTTCTCAGAACTATCCAAGCCACCTGCAGCTACAGACTCCGGCTGGGAATCTTGGGCACTGGGCAGTGCCAGCGCCTACTGGAAAGAGGCACAAGCACAGCCTGTCTCACCATAGTAATTTGTTTCTGGCTGTGAAGCAAAGACTGAGAACACCTGTTCCAGTGCGTCAGTGTCACACAGCCCCAGAAAGCCAGAGGGCAAGGGTGCAAATGCCGGCGCAGCAGCTGAAAGGTCATAATGCAGACAGATCTTGTTAGTGAAGGAAGGAAAGTGACCTGGATCCCAAGGAATTCATGGCTATTCATCCCACCATTATCTCCCTCCAGCACAGGCCTGGCTAGAGCTGCCAGAGCCACCAACAACAGGGACGATGCCTTGCTCTCTGATACAAAACTACTCAAGCTAGTGGAGTCACAAGCAACGGAAATGTATTCCATAGGGCTCTGGCTAAACTGGGGGAGTGGGCAACAAAATAGCTAATGACATTCAATGTAGATAAATGCAAAGTAATGCATGTTGGAAAACATTATCCCAGACACACATATCAAATGATGGGGTCCGCTGTAGTTGTTACAAAGAGATCTTGGAGTCACTGTGAATAGTCCTCTGAAAACACCCACGCAATGTGCAGCAGCAGTCAGAAAAGCAAACAGCATCTTGGGAATCATTAAGTTTGGAATTAGATAATAAAATGGAAAATATCTTATTGCCTTTGTATAAATCCATGGATCGCCCACGTCCTGAACACTGCGTGCAGAAGTGGTTGACACATCTCAAAAAAGATACATTTAGAATTGGACAAGAGTCAGAGAAGTGCAACAATAATGATAAGGGGTTGGGAACAGCTGCCATATGAGGAGAGATTAATCAGACTGGGACTTTTCAGCTTGGAAAAGAGGAAACTAAGAGGGGATACGATAGAGGTCTATACAATCATGAGTGGTATGTAGAACGTGAATAAGGAAAAGTTATTTACTTGTTCCCATACCATAAGAAACTGTGGGTCACCAAATGAAATTAATAGATAGCAGGTTTAAAACAAACCAAAGAAAGTATTTCTTCACACAGCACATAGTCAACCTGTGGAACTCCTTGCCAGAGGATGTGGTGAAGACCAGGACTTTAAAAGGGTACAAAAAAAGCAAGACAAATTCATGGAAGATGGGGATAGCTATTAGCCAGGATGAGTAAGAATGGTGTCCCTAGCCTCTGGGAATGGCTAATAGGGGATCACTTGATGATTACCTGTTCTGTTCATTCCCTGTGGGGCATCTGGCATTGGTCACTGTTGGAAGACAGGGTATTGGGCTAGATGGACCATTGGGCTGACCCAATCTGGCCGTTCTTATGTTTCTAGGTTCTTATGTCTGTGCAGCCCCAAGCACAATGAAGCCTGATCCTGAGCATGACTAATGTAAATGAGAGTGTGTGTGGGGGGGGGGTAACATGCGATCACAAATGTAATGAATGATGTTGGGTCTCAGTGGCAAGGAGGATGGAAGAACTGTACCGAACTCTTATAGTCAGAAAAGGCCCTACCACAAGGGCAGTGGTGCAGACAGGGACAGAGATTTGTTGCTATTGGCTGGGTCGTACCATCTGGGCATAGCCCAGAGAGAGAGAGTTGGTGTCAAGTCTCACTGAGCAGGGGAGCAATGGGAAGCATGGTGGCTTGCAGGTATAGAAAGCTCACCAGACTCTCAGGCCTGCAAAGGCTTTTCCTGTGAAGGATGCAATTTACTGCTCCCCAGATGGTGCCCTTCGCAGGTGGAGCAAGTGAGCTCTGGCTCCATCCCCTTTTGGAGTTCTGTGTGAGAGGAGCATGGACTTAGACATTCCCTCATGGTGTGAAAAGCCTGACTCCAAAACTCAGTGGTATCTGACTAGAGCAGAAGGGGACTGACAACCCAGATCCAAACATGAGCCCCCGCTGCCACCTTTTTGTAGAAGCCACGTCAGCCTTTCCCAGCCGGATTTCTGACCACAGATTTCACTACAGCTGCACCTGCATCAGCCCCCGCAGTTCCAGAGGGTCCATTAATTATAATATTGATAGTGACCTGAAGGGGATGATCCTGTTAGTGGATGGCAGTTTTCAGTGGCTGTAACTCCATCCATTACAGGCTAGATTAGAGAGGCACAAACAATTCTGAGTACAAATAGGACCCCAGAGCACCTCTCCTAATGCAGCTAGTAACTAGGCTAACTAGCCAATTGCTTGGCATGTATATTTGGTCCCTTCCCAGGAGCAACAAAACCCAGAACAGGTAGTGCTGCAATGCATGTGTGTCCTACTGGAAGTCAGCAGAAACAACTTCAGGGCATGCAAACAGAGGCATAGAATGATTGAGACCTGGTTCACTACAGTCACCCTGGCCTGCTCCTTGGTCATTTGCCAAGGAAGAGAACAAAAAAAGCTGTACACATCTGTGCAAGGAAAGCAAATACTCATGCAGACTCCTGAATGGAACAAGACTGTGCTAACTGGCATTGCTTATAGAGGCTTTCAGGGTGTGTTTTAAATATATATATAAAAAGAAAAATGTTCACCATGGACGGAGCTTAAAGTTTCCTCATACTTTGCAGGTAACTTGTAGCATACCACTGTATCAACTTACACAACGCTCCATTTTTCTGAGCAACCAAAGCCCAGAACCTGGCTTTTCTGAAAACAGAATGTTGGTCTTGGGAGAACAGCTTGGGAAATGGCTTTTTCATGAGAGTGCAAATAGTTGTGTAAGTTCTAGCATGTGACTAAAGCAGCAAGTCTGCAAATCAGGAAAGCCAGCTAAAATGCAATGACTTATTAGTTTATGTTAGGAGCATACATGAAGAACTAATCCAGTCAGATACATGTTCACTTGCTCTCCCCTTCTCTCTTTGTGCCATTTCTGCTTTCTTTCCTTTATTAAAGATACCCTCTGAATGTTTTGACAGTTTTATTAAATGGAAAATGTATTCAGACCAAATTGACAGTTTTATTAAAAGGGAAATGTATTCAGACCAAATTGACCAACTAGGAGCTAGCAGCTATCCTCAGTTTCACTGTGGTTAATCCAGAATAACTCTGTGGAATTGAGTGCAGGTATTTTGGATCTACATGGGTGAAATGGAAACCAGAATCAGGCCTGCAGTATATAGCAAGACATTAATTATTTTCTTGTAATTTGCAGTTCATTAAGGTATAATACTCAAGTGCCTGTGGCTTTTGGCAATTGAATCTACTTTGTCATCTGCAAACAACACAGTCTTCATTTCCACATCCTTACTTCTTAAAAAGAATTTTTCTACTCTTGTTTATTTAAAATTGTTGGTTTGCTCATCTGGTGCTGGAAACCTGTTCTCAAATCAGGATTATGGTTGCCTTGAACTTTCAGGTAATTATTTCTATCAGGAAGAAATAATTGGGATTTTTAATTGATCAGTTGAACTACTGAAATCTGTTTTATTTTGGTCTGAAAGGAAGGACCATGGACAGCTCCCAAAAAAGCTGTTTGGCTTTATTTTTAAAGCCCCTAAGTGCACTAGCAATATGCCTATAATCCTTCACAGTAATCTTAAAGCAAGAATGTTTTGGACATTTGAAATGATGATCTTAAAATGTAAAATATCACAAGTGATCAGTTTCACAAACTGGGAAGACTGCAAAGTTAACCACAGCAACACAAGATTTGATCTCTGGTCGCAATTCATCATTTTCAGTTTTCTTTTTAAAAAAACTTCTATATTAACCATAGAAATTGGGATACCTCTCCCCTCTTCATAAATGTACCCCTCTAATCCCAGGAGGAGCAGCATTGCTAGAAAGATGTTTAAAATAAGAACAGGTAAAGCAGAAAAGAGACAAATCCCAGCTGAAGTTTTGTCATTCTTGGAACTTTCTGGGTTCACAAGAAAGGCTGTAAGAACCAACTACACAAAACAAAGAAACAATACACTTTTTAAAATTGACAAATAAAAAGCTGCTTTATTTTCTTTAGACAAGGATTAAAATAATAAAGCTGCATCCTTACCCCCTCCGTTCTGATAACAGATATAAGGGAATCTCCAGACGTTGCCCAAATCTACAGCAAATCCAATCACTGACAAAAGGAAATCCATTTTTTTGCTCCACTTGTCCCGGGAATCTGTTTGGGTCATAAGCAACACTGGGTTGGCAGGATGGCTCGGGCTTGTGTTTCTACCCTGCTGGGGAAGGCTATCGGCTTGAACTGGAGAGTTCTGCTCTGACATTCTGCTTCTGATGGCAATCCTGCAGGATTCAAGCTGAATAAGTTTGAGAAGAGAAGGATTTGTTAATGCTGATGACAGATCCAAGGAGGGGAGGGGGAAAGGGGAGCCATAAGAAAGACCCATCCTTTGATCAAAGGCAGGAGGGGGAGTGGAGAAAGCATTTTGTGGCGAGCATATAGCTGAAATGCCGGGACCAACTTTCTAGTGCTGGTGTTTTAACCAGTTCTCTTTATAGAGGTTTGATATCAGTGCAGGTGTGCACTATGCCCTCGTTCAGGGTAAAGTTGCTACATGGCAGAGTGCAAGATTTATCATCATCATACCTCCTATGTTAGGTTCATTTGGAACAACTCAGGTTAAGTGAAAATGTATTTTCATGACCACTGCCTCCTACATTCAGTTGTTCTTGATTATACCATGCGTAGGGCTGGCGTGGCAGGCTCAATAAAAACTGTGGATCAATATAGACATAGCATTATCTCTCATCAGAAGCAGCAGTTCCGCTTTGCTCTCACCCTATCTGACAAACAGCTGTGGCTTCCTCCTTTTTCGATTTTTTTTAGGAAGTTACAGTCTCCTTACTGTAATCACTAATAATGCAGAAATTATAATGAATGACTATAAGGACAATTCAGTTTTCCAGGGGAAATCTGTCCTAAGTTATGACCTAAAATGGCATTCTACTTGTTAGGATGCAAAACGTACTAATGAACGCACCCCAAATGCACTGTGTTTACTCAGATTACAAAAAGAAAACAAACAAACAAACAAAACCACAAAAGCCCCACCATTGGAGCCGTTATAAACCAGCAGGCATGTGCATGTTTCCAATTCTTGTAGTGAACTTTCAGATTTCTCTATCTGCATTATTCTTTAAGGTAAAACAGAAAAAGCAGTCATGCAGCACTTTAAAGATGAAGAAGATGGTTTATTAGATGATGAGCTTTCATGGGGCAGACTGACTTCCTCAGACCATATTCAGAATATGAGCTGGAAATGGGTGCAGCCAGGAAGAGGGTGGCCAGTTGGACACAAGATGCATACAATCAGTTTGACTTCAGTGGCTCAGTTCTTTCCTGGAGGGAACCAGCCATGTGAGATGACCAACAACCTTCCTTGTCTTTTCATCTGCCCTCTTGTGTGGCCGAAATAGCCACAGTGCTGCAGACACCCACACTATGGTCCATGCAGAGGGATGCAGCATCTCTGATCTGGCTTCACTGGTTGGTCAAACTTCAACTTTAGTCCTTGCTAGATGTTTGAGATAGGTGGGAGCTCTTCATGCATGATAGAGCTAGAGGAGGAGGGGAAGAATGGGAAGAGAAAAGAGAGAAAATTGGCAAAAAACTCAGATGATGAGCTTTCATGGGGCAGACTGACTTCCTCAGACCATATTCAGAATATGAGCTGGAAATGGGTGCAGCCAGGAAGAGAGCAGCATCTTTCCTGGCATGGGACATCTGTTGGTATTGGCCAGCCATCTTCTGTGCAAACACAGGAAGGTGGATATAGTCCCCTCCATGCACTGACCAGACACAGCTCTTGGCACTGCATTTTCAGCTCCTGCTGGCCCAGGGTTTCTCAGGTTAGCACTTGCTCGCCTCATTTCTGGGCTGGCTTAACATGGCAGGTTCAATCTCTGGTCCAGATTTCAATGGTCCAGCATCATCTGTGGTCCCGCATCCCTGTGAGTGCTCCCAGGCTGCCCCCCTCCCACTCAGCAACTCCTCCCCAACCTTCCCAGAGCTTCCAGGAAGGGAAGAAGACAGGGGGATGCTCAGGGGAAGAGGCAGGGGGCTGTGGGGCCCTGCATGAGCTGGCGGTGGGATCTGGGAGTGCAGCCCAGGTGCCATGTGGTTCGGTGCACTCCTGCAGGGCTGGGCTCTTAGCCCCCATCTGTGGGGCTCTGAAGTCACCTTTTCTCTTCCCCTGGTGCTCCCCCAGACCCTGCTTGGTCAATGCTGGTCCCTCTACTGTGGCCACACTGGAGCTCAGCAGCCAGTGAGAGCCTAAGGGGTGGCATTAACCTCCCTTGGTGCGGCAAATTCTCTGGATCAGGACTGGTCAGGTCCCAAGGGTGCCAAACCAGGGACTTACAACCTGTATTACCATTTCCTATTGAACTTGCAGGAAGGCAACGGGCCCCAGTATGCTGGGCCCTATGCAATCACTGTCAGAGAGATGCATCCAGCCCCAAAGAGTTGACATCGAAACAATCTTCAAGTGACATGAATCTTAAGCCACCTGCAGTGCTCAGGAACGGCTGCCCCCGTCCAGCGAGGCAGCACTGCCAAGGTCTTGGCGTGTCTGTACAAACCCCTTATGGGTACTGCAGAGGTCACTGTACCTCATGGACACCACGACCCAGCTCAGCTTACAAGTGAACAGCTGTTGTCCTGCAAAGTGTTCTGGGCTCTGAGAACCAAGCTGGGGTCATTCCCTCCTCATGCAGTACTAATATCACTGGTTCTGCAGGGCAAATTAGACCCTCCCGGGGCTTCCTGCAGCAGGACTGGAACACCCCACACTGTGGATGTGCTGCACGGTGCACAAGAGAATCCGGGTCATGTTTGCCTCACTGGGCCAGCTCCAGGGGCCTCCCAGAAACACCTTCTGTCCTTTGGCTGAGTGGCTCTGACCCTGCCCACACACAGGCACTGCTCTGCAGGGCAGGACAGCCACTGAACTGTTGTTCCTAACCCTAGCCCTGGCCCCAGCGAGCTGGCAATAGAGTGGTGGGTGGTGTTAGAAGGGATGTGAGCCCCAGGCCTATAGGCTGCCCCATGATCCAGTCAGTCCTTGGCCCTCATGGGGTCAACTGCTGTGGAGACTTTATGTTCTGAGCACACTTGTCTGGTTGGCATTGGGCTGAGGCCACTAACTGGTTTCACGTTGGCCCCGGACCTGAGATCTGCCCTGTGCTAGGTTCAAAGCAGTGATTGCCCAGGGACAGGCTCTGTCCCCCGTCACTGAGGGTCTGGAGATCCTAGACTTCTGCCTGGTTTCCAGTGGGCCAGGAAGCAGGGCCCAGTCCAGCTATGTTGGCCGCTTCCAGAGCAAGCGCTGCTCCAAAGCCGGGTTTTTCAGGCCCTTCTCAGCTGTCATGAAGAGGAACTGCAAAAGAGATCACAATTGGACGTGTGGTTAGTTCCCATCAGGATAAACAGGTTTCCATGGCTACATGACGTCTGCTTTTCCACACACTCCACCATTCTGAGGACACCTGTGCTGAAACCCGCTCAGAGGGACACAATAGCATTTGCTGAGCCTGCCTCCTCCCCAACTCTCAGCAGTGCTTTGGTTCCCTTGGGCTTTGCTCCCAGCGGGACTGAGGGGAGAGGGGGAAGGGAATCAGGGACAACTTTTTCCTGGAGCCTTTTTATAAAGAATTCACATCTATGCAAAAATCTGTTGGGAACAGTCAAATAAAAAGATGTCAGGATGAACGGGCATCATGTGGCTGAAAACTGCTGCCTCGGGGGTGGCTAGTGAAAGCCATTCCAGGAGCATAAAAAGTCTGTCAAGGAACGGATATGTTTCCAGAGGTGCAAATGAAGGGCCAGATCCCCAGCTGGCCCAGGGAATGTGGTGGGGGAGGGTCACTGATCTGCCTGACTGAGGATCAAGCCCTAGCACAGACAAGCAGAGAGTGACACTGTGCTGTATAAATGCGCTGACACCTGCTGTCGATGGATAGGTAGCGCATGACGCTCTGTTGGCACAACAGTAAGGAATTCCATGCTGTCATCTGCCCCTGCTGCTGATTTATTGAGACTTCACTGATGGCAGGCTTCAGTCGGAACACAAGGGATTTTACAGAAGCATCGTTGAGCTGGAAAACAGGATCCTCTTCAGTCCCTGCCCAACCCTGGCCATGCAGTGTCTTTCTCAGCCACCTGAAAGCCAACACTGTGCTGAGTGCAGGTTTAGCTGTCTCTGGCTGGGGGTTCACCATTGACCTTGAGAGACTATCCACAGCCTAATTTTAGCATTCACTACACGTGCCTGTGCAACCCTCTTTGCTGACCTCAGGAGACAGCTGTCTGGACAGGCCTGGGCATGGTGTTAAATGGAGTCACTATCATGGCAGACAAGTCTCGGGGGGGAACCATGTTAGTCTGTATCTGCAGAAACAATGAGGAGTCCTGTGGCACCTTAGAGACTAACAGATTCATTTGGGCATCAGCTTTTGTGGGTAAAAACCACTTCATCAGAGTCAAGAAATGGTACATGCCACAGATGCTCCGTAAGGGCCTTAGCCAGCTCTCATGAAAGCAAATGGTCTATTCATTCTTGAGAACTGGACTGAGCCTAAAACTCCACTGATAGTGTGAGTTGGAAAGACCTGGGAACTAGGCATTCTCCCTTTCTATTTAGCCAGCATAGTGCCTTTCTACCTCCTGCCTCTGTCCATACCCATCTGCTGTGTTCTTCCTACTTGGTTGACAAGAATTTCTCTGGTGCATTGGATTTGATGGCAGCAGTGTGGCTGAAGCAATTTTTCAAGAGTGACTTGGCCTCATGCTGCCGCTGTGCACAGCAGTGAATTTCTCCTGGGATGAATGCAGAACAGGGGTGAGTGCAGTTGGGGCAAACTGCTGAAAGGTCCATGCTTGGTTTTCTGGGTGCTGCTGTCACCTTCGACAAGCAGGGCTGAAAATTGCTGAACTGAAAGGGGGGTTTGTATCTTTCCTTAGCACTCCATGTGAGAAGGCTCTGCTTCTCCCCTGGATCTATTCATTGAGTGTTCAAGGGGCAACCAATATTTAATCCCTTCCACTAGAGGACTGTCTCAGAGATGTAAGTGACACAATAAAGAGACAATAATGGATCTCAAAGTCACCATGTTGTTTCAGGCCAATTCCACAAGCCAAACACACAGAGAAGACTCAGAATTTAACTTCATTTACATATTTGATTCCTATCACAGAGGTACAAATAAAGACATTGGCTGGCTAGCACACTACCTTCCACATTCTAATGATTTAACCAACTAAGTA